CCGAACGAGGAACATCCGCCTTTTGAGTTTCGACTTTTTATTGGACGTATGCGGCACAATAGCGCTGTGTAATATCGCATAAAATCAGAAAACGAAGTAAGTATACGGATATTTCAATGTTTGCATCTGGAATCCACATATCCAACGATTCGAGTCGCAATGCTAGTTGCAATCAATATGTAGTCATCAGTATGATTTATACAGCAAATTAACGATGTATGTTACGACCGTTCGCGGAGAAACGCGATCGCAAGGAAAACGCGTCTGTGAGAGGCATAAATTCTCGTTACGATTCTGATAATCGACGCCACGAATCAGTCGTTCCCTTGTTTCGATTAGGATAACAGAGGTAGTTCAAATGATTGTTACGCTGAATTAACAGGATTAATATAAGCTTCTATTTCCAACAATATTTAGAATTATAATGAACACGTCACAAATGATTTAACGATGATACAATTAGTTTGTTACTATAATCCGACCCGTCTTTATGATATTTCTCGATGTATTCGTTTGACTAAACAACTTTGACTTATTCGTCTGAAGCTCTCAATGCATTCCAATCCTCAAATGATACTGATTGCCCTTCGATTTTTTCCTTTGTCTTCTCTAGGAGACGACCCCCTCCACGTTCGGCTCTCGCAACTGTTCGCGCATATGACCACATATACCACCTTCTTTGTGTACATAAAGTAACGAACCAAAGGCGAATCGATGTTTCTAGAACTCGTTGCTTGACGACAACTATGTGCTTGTCGCTACTTTGTATATATTTTGCCGATCATGTATGATAATCTGTGCACTGAGTACCACGAGCGATGGTTAGGAACACGGCGTATAGTAAGCCTCGGGGCATAACAATGTACCTCATTAAGACAACTCATGAAATTTACGTACGACTTCTTATGATTTCAACGAACTACCAGAAATTTGAGATATTTTGCACTTTTTCAGGATGTGATCCTATACCAAACGCGAAATCATCATTATGATGGATGGATTATTTCATAATGAAATTCTTTTCGCGGAAAATCTTTCTTATATGGACTTGAGACTGATCAAAGTCTTCGATTTGACGGACAATCAACAATGATTTCTCGCTACGAAACTCCACGCTCGTTATTGAAAGTTCGAATTCTTGTCACCGATTGGGATACATATTATACAGGGTGGTTGGTAACTGGTGGTACAAGCGGAAAGGTGGTGATTTTACGCGAAGAAAGAAGTCGAAAATATAGAATAAAAATTTTTCGTTCGAGGCTTTGTTTTCGAGAAAATCGACTTTGAATTTTCGCTCGGTACGCGTGCACTTTATCACGTCTCGTTATAACGGATCTCACTGTAGACCGTTGTCTCGATGGAAAAATTAAAAAAAAAATTTTTATTCCATATTTTCGACTTCCTTTTTCGCGTAGACTCACCCCCTTTCCCCTTGTACCACTAATTACCAACCACCCTGTATAATAGCTTGTTTACGTTTTCCGCTCAAAATTCACGAACGTAAATCGTAGGTTAGGGGGTTAATACAGAAGTGTAGGTACAAGTAGCAATATAATTTTGAGCTGGTCCAGATCCGCACGCTAGTGTGACGTCAATCCACATTAGAGGCCAGACGTGTGCAAGTACTCACCGCGTACCCTCAATAGCCTCAAGGACGCACCATATACTTAAGCTTAGTTTTAATTTAAATTTAAATTTAAATTTTATTATAAAATTTAATATAAAATTTAAATTCAATTTAAATTTAATTTAAATTTTAGTTTATTAACCCTGTAAGTGTTATTGGTATATGGATGGTCCTTGGAACAGTCCTTAGGTTTATTATACGTTCGTACAAATTACGGAGGAAAAGCGCGAATTTACCTAACGGAAAAACTGATTTTCCCCATGAACAGTGTCGCCTACGAGCCACGTTCGTAGGAGGCTTCCTCCTCCTATCTTCGTTTATTAACGTGGGCTATAATCAATTAGCATCGCGGATCGTTAGCCTCACTTTTCCTAACGAAAAGTGTGAATAACGAATCCGCGTTGTTAGCGAAAATTCCTACGTTTTGGTCGTTTCGAAAGGAACAATTGTTACTTTCTTTTGGACATTGAACAGGCGAAATTTTGATTGGATAAATCGTGGAGGAAGGTGTACTGCGTGTATTTTATAAAAATTTGCACTTCGGTGTGCCATCTTAACATCTTGCTCGACAAGATGCAAGGGTGTAAAACAAAGGAAAGAAGATGAAAAATCGAGCAGAGATCGAGTCGACAAGATTTCAATCAAGCTCTGTGGATGTTCGTCGAAAATGCAAAAGACGACGAGGAATTTCAACGATCCTAAAAGCATTCTTGGCAATTAGGAAACAGCGCGGTCTTGTCGATCAAATAAAACGCACCCACGGTTCATTTTTTCATGTCTGTTTGAGGAACCAGCTCGACGAATACGGATCTAAGAAACAAGCGTTCGTTACGGGTAAAGACTCTTGCGCCGAAGGAGTATGTCGACGAAGGAAAAGATTTTTATTTGTTATGCGTATCCCTCCAATTCGCTGTTCGCAAGGTGGATGGGCGCGTAGCCCTATGCAAAAAGCCAACTTATTTGCAAGTCACTTAACTAATGTGGCTCCTCACTTGCACTCTCCCTTCCAGATGTCTCCTCCTATTGAACTCATAAAATTAGCCAAGATTTAGAAAAGAAAAAATATTACTCTGCGGTATTCCTGGGCATTCAGCAGGCGTTCGACAAAGTGTGGCATAAAGAAATTTCGCTCAAACTAGAGAAAATCCTACCACACACCTACTACTCCATCTTAATATCATATCAATAGGCTGTTCATGATGAGATACTTAGACGCTACAACCACAACATCTCCAATAGAAGCTGACATAGCCCAAGGCAATATCCTTGGACCTTCGTTCACCATCTACAATGCCGATTTCTAACTTTGCCAGAAATAACCACGGCGATATTTGCTGATAATTTAGCTTTATTGCCGTCTTAGACCCGATATTTACAAGGTCTCGACTCTGTGGGAAAGTGGTTCTACGAATGGCGCTTCAAAATAAATGAAAATAAATTCAGTTATATAATCTTCACGTAGAAATAATCTGCAAAAATAATCTTGCCCATAATATTCCAATTCCAAATAAAGATATAGTCACATATCTGCGCATGATTCTGGACAGAAAAATAACATGGAAACGACACATAGTAAACAAATCCAAGCAATTTAAATAAAAATTTTAAAAATTCTACTGGCTCATTAGCAGACTTTCCATCTGAATCGCGCAGAGTAAAATGATGCTATATAAAGACTATATTAAAATCTGTTTGGGCCTACGGGATCCAACTACGGGAAACAGCGAGTAATTCTCCAACAATTCTAATCAAAAACTCTAAGATTCTTAATAGATGCACCTTGGTATGTTACCAACGAAACAATACATCGCGACCTTAAGATATCCACAGTTAAAGAAGAAATATCCAAACTTAGCAACAGATATAATATAAGAGTTAACAACCACCAAAACCCATTAGTTACCCAATTACTTGATACGACGGACCAGATCCGCAGATTAAAAAGACAATACCCTTTAGGTTTAAGCATTAGATTCAACTAGAATCAAACATACTCTAAACTCTTATAATCCAAGTTACAGTATCACGCCAAAATAATTTACTTGTAATTCTCAATGACAATTGATTGTAAAAAGTCTCCTAAATAAAAAAAAAAAATGTGTAACGCGTGAATCACGTGGCGGTAAAAGTCGATGAAATAACAAACCGGTCAAGACTTTATCCAGCCACGCATATGAAAGTGGAATGTTAATTGGTCGCAACCAGCGAACGTACACTCCTCGCCAAAAAGATAGTCGAGGTGTGCTATCTTTAATTTCTCAACGATAAGTGTAAAGTTTTTCGTCTGTAACGTATAATATATAACGTTTGTTGAAAATAATTAAAAACATTACGAGATTTAGTGTGTAACAAAAAAAAAGTGTTTTATTTTAAGAACGAAATAATAGGACACTCTGTTAGTATGTTTAGAAATTGCTCGGTAGTTCATGATCTATCAACGAGTAAAGATTACAGTGCAATATTATATAACTTTATAAGAATGGGACGCGGAGGAAAATTAAACGAGTCTGAAAAAAAGCAAATTCTTAAACTAAAACAGCAACAGTTATCAGTAGCAGAAATATCGAAAGTAATAAAAAGATGTCGTAAAGTAATACACAATTTCTTAAAAAATGTTGAAGATTATGGCAATTTTGCGTGTAGCTTCCAACTCGCAGTTAACAACGAAGCAAATAATTGAAAAATTTAGTGTTAGTGCCAGTGTTTCAAGTGTTCGTCGAGTTCTACTATCCTGCAAAAATATCAAGAAGCTAGAATTGAAAAAGAAACCTTCGTTAACAACGAAACATAAAGCAGAACTTTACGCTTTGCAAAAGAAAGAATGCATTCGAAAAAGAAATGGAGAAGGGTACTATTTTCAGACGAAAAAGATTCAGTTGCATGGTCCTGATGGGTTCCAATATTATTTTTATGACGTAAGAAAAGAGACAATGTCAGTAATTCAACGACAAATGGGAGGAGGCAGCGTGATGGTTTGGGCCGGCATCGGTTATTTCGGTAAGACAAGTATCAAGTTCATCGATGGGAGAATGAATAATAGTGTCCGATACATAAATGTAATCAAAGAAAAAATAAATAATCATACAGACCGTATTTCTGGAACTGACCAAATCTTTCAACAAGATAATGCATCTGTAGCCTGCACACTCTCAGGGCCTATTATTAAACGTATCTATTACTAAATAAGTATATATGTTTGATAAGTAATTTATGTTGTTTATTATTTTTTTACTGTACATGTGCTATCATTTCGTTCTTAAAATAAAACAATTTTTTTTCTTACATACTAAACCTCATAACATTTTTAATTATTTTCAACGAACTGCATATTCTTAACTCATAATGTTTTAATATTACACGTTACAGACGAAAAATTTTACACGCGTTATTGAGAAATTAAAGATAGCACACTTTCCCTATCCTTTTGGCAAGGAGTGTCGCAAGTAAAATGATAGCGATATTTTACATCAATGATGTGTCCTGTATCGAACACGCATTATAATGCTTCAATTTCATCGGAAACCGTTGAGTCTCTCGAGCTCCATTCGCCATTTGAAACCCGTTCGACGCAGTCGTATTTTCGAACATAGTACCGACGTAGTACATTATCGCGAACAAGAGAACAAAATACATTCGCGTGGCTGCCGATATTCCTCTATAATCAATTCTAATAACCAAGTGTAAATCTCATTTCAAAGTATGAAGTGCGGAAGAATTTCGTGGACATGTTTATCCTTTTTATCTTTAACAAACTTTTACGTGTTAATACAAGCGACCGAACTAGACCCGATGACCTCAAGGAAGATACTACCAGTGTACGCGGTTTTGGAAAATGCTGGTCTTCTAAATTCCAGCAGGTGTCGGACCCAGATAGATATATTTCGAAATGCGGTGAATAACCAGATACTTTGGGCTCTAAGAGGTTAATAGAACTTTTGAGATATATAATCGAATTCGGTTTCGCGAAGCTACCACCAGTCAATTACAGCGAAAAAAAAGAAGGGGGCAAACCAAACGAAATACGTATAACCGACCGTGATTCAAAAAGATGTACACCGTGTTTGCGATTGTGTTTAGTGACATGTTCTCGATGAATACGTTTATACCGCGGAAAATTCGAATCAAAAACGATAGAAACAATTCCTGCGCAACCGCGAAAATTCTTCTGATTACGGTACCATCGCTACGTTTTTTATCGAGCCAACTCCCGACTTTGCGATTTTCCTCCTATGTTGCATAAGAAACTAGATCCTTCGTACAGGGCGTGTAAAAGCTGCGGTCGTCGTCGTCATAGTTTTTCCAATCAGCCGATGCTGTTGTTGTCAAACGGTGCGATTAATTTTCACGCCGCTCCAGATCCTTATCGCAAATTGCAGCCCGAGTTGTTACCAATGAGATATCATGTGTTTTTTAAGCGTTGGATATCAGTGGAGTGCCATCCAGAGGATTTGTCATCGGGAACAATCATTGGTTAGGAGACCCACAAGATTGCAAGCATTTCTCTGAAAATCGCACGCTATTACTATCAGAGAAAGTACGAAAGAACAATTCCATATACCGGAACCCGAATGAAGAGTATTCACCTTTTGAGTTTCGTTTTTTTATTGCACGTGCGCGGCACAATAGCACTGTGCAATATCATATAGAAGCAGAAGACGAAGTAAGCAAATGGATATTCTAGAATTAGTATCTCGATTGTATATCTCTAACGATTCAAGTTGCAATGCGAATTACAATCAGTATGTAGCCAGTTTGTGCGGTCAATTAAGAATTTATAGCATTAAAATAATATTGATAGATGATATCATTAATATTAAAATATTTCGTGAAATTTACGTGCGAATTTTTACGGTCACGACGGACGATCAGAAAATTGAAAAACTGCATCCATTTTAGGATTTGATCACGCTTGGACTTTGCTTACC